GGGGCAAAGGGGATGGGGTAACGGGGTGCTATACTCCAGTATTGTAATGCATAGGCACACATTTTATTTGTTTTTGGCGCACTCACGCATACGCACACGCACACAAACACACACATTTGAGCTGCAAGCTAAAAGTGCAAAAAATCACACACACACGCGCGCGCGAATGTGTGAGAGCAAGAGATAGCAACAATGAGACAGAAATAGAGAGAGTCGGACAGATGGATAGCTAGGGTCGTTGGATAAATGAAAATTAAATTTGTTTTGCACATTGTTGTTGTTGTTGTTTTTGCTGTTGTTGGCAACGTTTTGCAAATATTGATAGTAATTGAATTTATGCTGTGCAGCTGCAGCCAAACTAACGGTAAATTGCAAAATGCTAAAGATGAATGCGAATTGCAGTTCCCCCGCCACCCACTTGTTCCCTTTTATCACACTCTCGCTCTCGCTCCCCCCTCTCTCTCTCGCTAAGCACCGCAAATTATTTCGTTTGTAACGTGTGCGTCGCCGTCGGCGTCGGCGTCGCTTTTAACGGTAAACAATTTTTCATTGGATTTGTACATTTTCGTCGGATTTGTTTGTTTCTTTTCGTTTTCTGTTTTGGTTTTTATCGGCGTGAATTACAAAAACATTTTTAATTAGCCAATTTAATTGCATTTTATTCGCTTGAATGTCTTTGCCTAAAGAATTGTAATTGAATGCATGTACGAATCGAACAACAAACATAGTCTGCTTGGAATCGGGTATGCACGACTAGGGTATATACCCTGAACTGCTGTGCTTCTTCTTAAATCAGCTGTATTTAGCCAGATCCTAATAATATTTTCTGGTGCAGGAATATGCGACTTCAGAAATTACTTTTTTGCATCGGAAAGGGAATCTGGATTTGTGTCTATCTCTAGTGCTTGAAAGCTCTGAGATACGCTCTACAAATAGATTTTTTTCTTTTAAGATACATTTGAAACATATCAAATGAACAAACCTTTTTTAGATACATCCACAAAATGTATAATATATGTTATCTCTCAATATGTAAGAGCAGAGAGAGTAATCCCATCTCTAGATATAAAACCGAGTACGCTGTTTGCCTGAAAGTTTTTCACACGTTTCTCAATGTCCACCACTTTTTGGTGAAAAATGCGAGTCAAAGAGGAAAAAAGTAATATCAAAATTCTGATTCCAAATGTATCTGAATTCGATGGACTTGGCAATGAAGAGTGCCAGATAGTATCTAAAGATTTAAACTTTCACGATCGTGAAATGGGTGAAAACTTGAAACAATAACATGCACAAATTTATTTCGGTTGAGTTTTTGTGCCTTGCTATCTCTAGATCTTGGATCAACACAGATATTTAACTACATGAATTTCCAGTCTAGTTTTCAATTCAATTATGCTGACGACGACATAGAAACAGGTTCTGATACTTTGCTTTTGATAGCTGGGCCATAATGCGACTGGCTGACATCTGTTATGAGCCTAACGAAGGGTATTAAACTAAAGTCAAGCGTTTACCAATACTGAAACCGGACGGCGACACTTGCGACTTGTCAGCGAGCATTTTACAACACTTGGCAAGGTTATGTGAGAGTTGCCACCAAGTCGACGAAAAAGTGCAAACCAAATAAATAAATAAACTAAAACTGTTGTCGTTCTCTCGCTTTACTGTCGATGTTTTTCTTGTTGTTGTGTGGAAGTTGTTGTTGTTGCTGCTGCCTGGACAAGGGAGGGCTAAAGACGATTGGCGGGTGAGGGCCAGAGCGGAGGAAGGAAGGCACAACCCCAAAAGCTTTTGCGCTGTACTTCATTATGGGCATGACAAATGTTCAAGTGTGACCCTATGTGTGCGTGAGCGTGTGTGTGTGCCATGATAAGGGAGTGGGATTGAATCCGGCTTATAGCCTCGGGGCGCAAGTGGCAAATGTAACTGCGACCGCGACTGTAACTGTGACTGTGACTGCGACTGCGACTGTAACTGTGACTGGGATGTGGCTACGCCGTGGACGGCCGTTATCCAACGAATTAAACGAGCGACTGCTGCTGCTCGCTCGTTTCGCACATGTGGCTGACTGTGTGTATCTATAAGTGCGGATACTGTATCCGCAACTTGTGTGTTTGCATGCGACGAAGGTTGCCCGGGCAGCTGCTCCTTCTTCAGGCACACAAACTGCAATGCCTGATCCAGCTTTGGCTTCTACTATGTTGTTGCTGCCTGCCTCTTGCTGCTCCTCCTCCTCCACCTGCTATCCCCCGCTTGCCTAGTGTTGTGCGTGTGCATGTTGTGCGTATGCATCTTGTATCTGCGCAGCGAGCATTTTCTTTGCTATTGTGCAAATTATACAAAGACGATGCCGAGCATGACAGCGTTTGTCACCATGTGCAGCCCCCCCTACCCACTACCACCTCCTTGCCACACTTTTAGCTGCATTAGATGAATACACACGATGCAGAAGAATAAACGACAAACAGACAGACAACATTTTGTATCTATTTGTGTGTGATGTGTGCGGAAATTCTTGTAATTTGCATGAGTTGCCCGGAGCAGCTCGTGCGGGGGAAACTCTGGCTGGCTGGCTGGCCGTGATGCCCACCCACTTGAGCTAAAGCTGCAAGAGGCAGGCGAAACGAGCCACGCCCACAGAGCACATTATCAATAATTAATTAATGCACGTTGCATCAACTCGAATGCACAGATGTGGGCAGATGTCAGTCGAGGGAAACAGACTCGGCTAGCAATTAGAGCAAGTCCCTCTTCATTTGGAGACTTACGTTACGTTACAGCAACCAGGCCGAGTTCCAACTAATTGACGAGCACGTCATGCTACCCACTCACCTGTCAATTAGGATAACTGGCAAGTCCTGCAGTTCGGCGTTGAGACTATTTTCTAATAGAGCCCACACAAAACAAATACAAGTTAATATCGTCTATTATTAGCTGAGATATGCGAGAAACATCCAATTACAGGTGTGCAGGCAGATAATTAAAGAGAATACCTGTATTCTTTATTTATCTGACAGATGTCGACTTTCCGATTCGTCATACGAGAGCTGTGAAAAATTGGCAAAGCTCATTTGAGATACATCTTTTATCTCGCGTAATAGGTTGTATCTTCGAATCTATCAGGTGGGCCTTTAATTAGTTCATATAAAATATCCCTTAAGTAGTAAAGCTTGAGCTAGTTTGGGTAGACTAAAATATCCTAGAACTTAAAAGTGCTCGAGTCGCAAGTGCCCGACTTGTGGTTAGCCTGAACCACCTTCTTAAACAAACAAGAGAAAGTTAGGATATCTTCGGCACGTCGAAGATTTAATACCCTTGTGGACATTTACCTTTTGTAGATATTTGAGAATAGCACAGCATGAAAATGCGAAGTCTATTCAAATATCTTTGATAACAGCATATTTTGCTATATTATGCTATTCCACCGATCTGTCCTATAGCAACTGTATGATATAGTTGCCTGATGTTGATAAAATTTTGCATATATATATAAGTATCTCATAATGGAACCAATAAATGCCCAGTTTGATCAAGGTTTCTTAGTAAATTCCAATGTCAGCTATATGATATAGTATTCCGATCTATATATATTATGAGTTTGGGAAATGACAAAACCATGATACCCTCTACAAGGGTATTTAGTTTCTTAATGAAGATTATGTTAAACATTTAAGATTTGCAAGAACTTAATCTTTGGCAACTTGAAAGATAACTGATTTTTCGAGTTCGAATTCGAGTTCGAGTTTCGATCAGCTGTTGGGTTTTGCAAAATGCGTATCAGAAATTAAATGAATACAGTTAAATTTCCGTTAATTTCAAGATGTCCTTGACGTGAAGTGTTTCTTCTTCTTCTTCGTAATCAGTTGCCAGTTGCAAACTGTTGCCAATTAGTTGGACTTTGAGGAAACTCAACGAGCAGGAACTTTGCCTGCGGCTCTTGCCGCCCCCCCCCCCCCTTCGCCTCCTGCCCTTGGCTGGGCATTTATACTGCTCGCTCTCGCTCTCCTTCCCCCTTCTCTTTCTTGTGGGCTCTGCTGCACTCATTTGCTCAACTGATGAAAATTAACAAAAGCAAAAACGTCGCTCGTTTTGTTGGCTCTGCTTTGGGCGCTGCTTTTTGGCCGCGCTCGGCTCTCATTTATTTTGCGCGACGCAGCAGCAGCGACGCGGCAGCAGCAGCGGCGGCGGCAGCGGGAGAAGCCGCAGTTCCTTTTCATTTCAAAGCGACCACAGAAACGACGACAGCGCGGGCAGAAGAAGAACGATGCTCACACTCACACACACACACATGCATGCATGCATGCACGTACACGCACACACACACACACACACACACACACACACACACATACATGCATGCATACAAGCAGACACGCACATACTTATAACTTTTTTTTTCTTTCGCACAGTTTTTATGCATGTGTATTCATCTTCTTCTGTTTCTTCTTCTTGTTTGCTGTTGCTGCTGCTACTTCGGATAGCGGAGAGAGGAAGAGCAAAACTTGGAATGTGTTGTTGCAGTTGTTGTTGTTGTAGCTGCTGCCAATGCCACCTTCTGCACGGCACGGCACGACACGACACGGCATGGCACAGCTCCTCTGGAGCCCCCCTCGCCGCTTGGTCTCGCTGCCTCGCGGCAATGGCAGCCAGCCAGGCGGGTAGGCGGGCAGTGTGGCAACTCTGGCTGACGAGCAAGTTTGAATTGTAATCCTTGTTGTTGTAGTTGGCACGCTCGCCTTTAGCTGCTGTTGTTGTTGTTTTACTGGTGCTGTTGCAGCAACAACTTTGCCCCCCGCCTCCAGTTCCCTTCGCTGCCCTCTGCTGATGTCCCTGTTGTGTGCACCTCTCCCCCCCCCCCCGCCAACAAGGCAGCAAACGAACCAGGCAACCAACGAGCCAACCAACTATGTTCGACATCAGCCACTGCCTTTGTCTGTAACCGCCCTGACCCCCCTCCCCCCCCTCCCCCTCCCTTCCCGCCCTACTGCTGTTGTTGCACTATGCGTTTTCATCGTTGTCGCCCTTCTCGTTGCCCTTTACATTTCAGTTCGCTTCAGGTCCAACAAACATTCTGTGCCTCATACCCTTCACACATTCGGAGTCGCTGCGAGTTGTTCAGCAGAAAGAAATCATATAGAGCTAGTTCCGATTCCGATCTTTACAAAATAGTTACTTGATTCATTGAAAGAGAACAAGTTGAAATCAATGCAATGCTTGACCCAAAATATGCAACAACACTTTTGAGTAAAAACGAGAGAGCATAAATATATATTTGTATATGCAGAGTAGAGTATCTATGGGGTACATTTACACTCACTCTCAGTCAAAATTCGCACGCTGTTCAACACTAGATGATTTTGCTTAATAGAATGCCGCACACTTTTCAATGTATTCTTATAGTCGAATTACTTTAAGTAGAAATAATAAATGAAAACACATTTAAAGATAGTATTTATATAGATATGTAGCTAGATGTATACATAAAGTAGATAGAAACTTGCAGCTTTAAGCAAAAAGTAAAAGAAAACAATATTCGATAAATACAACATTTAAACCTTGTAGACAATTTGGCATACATAGTATATCTATTCCTCTCGAATTTAAACTCTCTGCCTTATGGTTAGTTAACTTGTTCCAGAGCATGGTTACAAGAGTATCAAATCTTCGGCTTGCCTGATTATGCTTACCGTTTCGTGTTTGCTTGTGTGTGTGTGTGTGTACTTGCATATGCATGGGTATGAGTGTGTACACATTTTATTTAGATTTTAGCTGACTTTTCTTTCTGCCCTGGACTGGCCACTGGCCACAGCAACAAAAGTGCTCCATTAGCTGCAGCCGCTGTCGCTGGCTGCGCATTGACCTGCCCCGCGATTGCATTTATTTGTTGTAGTTGTTGCTGTTGCTGTTAGCTATGCCCTTTTTTGGAGAGTATTACAGCACACACACACACACACACAGACACACTCACACACAATGATGCTGATCAGATGTTATCCGACTGCAGTCACACTCTACAAATAGGGGCATTTTATCTAGCATGCATATGCACATATACACACATACATGCATATATATTTACGCCTGCCTCAACAAAGACTGTCGCCTGTGCCACGCCCCCCTGGCGCAGCAATGTTAACAGCAACGCATTGAGGCGTAACTGTCTTGTGCATGCTTGCATACATATGTTTGTATGCATGTGTGTGTACGCATGTATATGTAAGCATAAAGTTGTAGGTGCATCTTGTCGCCTGCTTTCACAATTCGTCCATTTACCATTTCCATTTATCATGCGCGCAATTTTACTTGACATTATTCAACAATTTGCATCGCTGCTTCCGCAGCAGCAGCAACAGCAGCAGCAGCAGCAAAACCAGCAGCAATACGCATTTCCGCAGCAAAAGTTTTGGCAGCAGCAGCAGGAGAAACAGAAACAACTACAACAACAACAACAACAAAAGCAACATGGCGGCAACGAAGAGCAGCAGCAACAGCAGGAAGACAGTCAGACTTACACCCGAACACCTTTAGCCAGCCTCATTTATATTACGTTACACTCGCTCTCTCACTCTCTCGCTCTCTCTAGCTCTCTTACACGCACGCACACTTACTTATGACGACTACAAGCAAACACAAGCCGCAACATTGCAAAATTTGCTTGCTCACTTCCACGCGCCTGGCGTGTTGTAGTTTTTGTTGCTTTGCTGCTTCTCCATGCATTTTGCTTAATTTCTCACTTGTTCCTTTTCCACATGCACACACACACACACGAACATGCATGCATGCATGCACGCACTCACTCACTCACTCACTCACTCACTCACTCACGCAGCTGCTCTCTACCGCTCATTTGATTTAGTTATTGTAGCAATTTTAATTACCAGCACTTGAATGGGCGACTTTGCCTGCGCCGTTGTCGTCGCTGCCGTCGCTGCCGTCGCTGACGCCGCTGTCGCAACCGCATCACCAAAATATATATGTATGTATATTTAAATGTAAAAGAAATTGAAACAATACAAATGGCTCTGCGGAGTGACTGCTAGTCTACTTTGGCCCCTGACAACCGCCAGGGTCTGACACCTTCGTCTGTCTGTCTGTCTGTCTGTCAGCCTGTCTGTCACTGCGCTGCGCTGCGCCCACAATTTCAAACAGCAGCAACAGCAACAAACACGTTCGTTAAATGCTGAATAAATTTTCTCATATAATCGTCGTCGCAGTCGTCGTCATCGTCATTTTGCTCCCCCTCTTTATCCCTCACTTCGCACCCCACTCCACCCCATCCCAACTAAAGGCAAATGTTGTTGTTGTTTCCATCAGCGCTCTGCTGCCGGCGTCGATGTCGCTGCCGCTGCCACTGCCTGTGCCCGTTGCCATCGCCGTCGCCGTCGCCGTCGCCGTCGCTTCGCACTTGGCTTCGGCTTGGATTGGTTGATGTCGTTTCGTTAGTTTAGTTCGGTAACTCGTCGGTCGCGCAAGCAACAACAGCTACAGCTACGGCAGACGGCTGAAAGCTGAAGCTGAAGCTAAACCAAACGCAAAACCAATGCCAAATGCCAAAAGCGGGCGGCAAAGCTAAGAAAAATTACGAAAAATTTCCTGTGCGCCGCAGAAATAAATTAAATGTATGTGAGTGTGACCGTGTGTGCGTGTGTGTTTGAGTGGGAGAATCAAATAGCGGAGCAAAAGTGTTAGCTAGGCAGCAGCAGCAGCAGAAAGTGTGCGCTCCACTCGATATTTATTTATTATTGCAAAAAGCTAAACCAAAAACAAAAGCAAAAGAAATTGCATTGCATGGGCCAAAAGACGTTGATGGCGTCGGTCGCAGGAAGTGCGACAGATACAGATACAGATACAGCTACAGATACACAAATGCCAAACCTAACCAAATCGTTTGGGCCAAATCCAAAGCAGCCAGCGAAGCTAGCGCGAGAACTCAACCAAGCGAGCAGAGCCCAAAGCAGCGGCAGAGGCAGAGGCAGCAAGTTCTGTCTGTCTGTCTCGAGGCGGCATGTGTGTGCGTTTGTGTCTCTCTCAGTGCAAGTGTGTGTGTGTGTGTGTGTGTGTGTGTGTGAGTGTGTGTGCACCCTGGCCACCGTATATTCTTTTGTCAGTTGTATGTGAACTCTATGCCCGCTCTTTGCCTCTTTTTGTTCCTCAAAAGACGCTACCAAAAAGGATTTAAAATTGTCCACAGTTGCGCGAGATGCTGTTGTTATATGTATGTATATGCTATACATACAAACCATACATGCATACATACAAACATACATGTGTACGTACAATTTGCAGTTATCTAAAGCCGCCGCCGCCGTCGCTGCCGCTGCTGCACGTTATACACACAAAACAAAATTGTCAAATCAATAAAAACGCGAGCAAAGTGTCGCCGCAGTCTCTGTCGCTGTCACAGTCAGCGCCAACGTCGCAGTAAGCGTTCGCCTGCGCTTTGCTGTTTAACAGTTGCCATTAACATTAACTGTAAAATTCCAATACTAAGCTGATGAACTTGTTTAAATGACAGATTTAGACAAAGCACAAAAGCTAATCAAAAACTTCATAGCATTTATATATGTATGTGCAAAAGAGATGCAGATAGCCAAGTGCAGAGCTTTTCGCTGTGCTTCTTGTTCTACTATGCTTAAACGAGTTACTGACCAATGCAATAATTAGCTGCTTGCACACATTCATACACACACACACACATGTGTGTGTGTGTGCGCGCTATTGCAACTCCAATAGGATTTATTGCGTCAACTCGGCGTCGGCGTTTTCAGTTTGTATTTTTTTCATGTATCAATAATTACGGCGAAAGAAACGTTGAGAGAAAAAAAAAATAACGAAATTGAAGCAGCGGCGCAATGAACGAATGGCCGAACGAGCAGGCCAACCAGCAACAACAACAACATCATTGGAGACATGTTTGCGCGGCAGCGTCGCTCATTTATTTTATGTCTCGCTGCCGTGGCTGTTATTGTTGTTGTTGTTCTTATTCTTCTTCTTGTTGCTTGGCTAGCTGCTTTTGTTATTGTTGTTGTCGTGGCGTTGGCGCTGCTTGCCCAACCCGGCACGGCCTGGCCTGGCCGATGTTTTCTGTTTGTGTATGCCTTCATGTACACATACATATGTTTGTGTGTGTGTGTGTGTGTGTATACCAAATGTGTGCATGACACGACCCGCAGCGCTGCCAACGTCGCTGTCGCAGTCGCAGTCGCTGTGGCTATAGATGTTGACTGTTGTTGTTGTTGTTGTTGGATATGCTTTGCGCTTTTTGTTTTGCGTTGAATGCCCCTTGGCTCGTCGTCGTCGTCTCCCTTGCCTTGCGACGATCGCTTTGCTCCACTGTGCAAATTGAGAAGTATTTATGTTTTACACACACACACACACACACACACACACATATTAATGTACATATGCATGTGTGTGCGTATAAATAATAGAAAAGTGCGTGGATGCCTTTGCCGCTCTTCTTCAGTTTGAAAACTTGTACACTTACACACATTCGCCCTGGAATCTAACTGCACTTTGGTCTAGCTATGCATGTATGTGTGTGTGTATGTCGCTTCGACAACTTGTCGACCAGTTAAGTTTCTGTTTGCATTCACTCGCGTTTATAATAACTCATTCCACTCAATCCAACTCATTTCGGCTCAGCGCAGAGCAGCGCAGCGCAGCGCAGTTCACTTCACTCATTCGTTTCTAAAATACAATTTTTGTGCTTGTTTTGTTTTTGTTGTCTTTTGCTTTTATTATAACGCAGCTCAGTTGCGGATTTGTTATTTCGATATTTAGTTGGATTTTCTGTTGTCCGTCCTCTGGCTGCCTCTCGCAATGTTTCTACACGTAAAAAGTTGCCGTCTGTGTTTGTCCGTCCGTCCGTCTGTTTGTCGTTCGAGTTTTGTGATGCCGCCGCCGCCGCGACTGCTGCTGCTGCTGCCGTTGGTGGCGGTTTTGTCTCGTTCCTCGCTGATTGCTTTGGCCTGTCCCCCCCCCCCCCCCCCCCCCTCCTGCCCCTTGCCTTTCGCCTTTCATTCCCCTTGCCCAGCTCGATTCCAGCTCGTTTTGGGTGTATGCCGCTGTGCAGTGTTTCTTTTTCATATTGTTTAATTTATTTCGTTGGTTTTTATTGTGGTCGTTGCCGTCGTTTCATGTGTGTGTGCGTGTGTGTGTGTCTCTGTGTGTGTGTGTGTGTGCGCTTGTGAATTCGTCATTTCGTGCTGTTGCTGCATTTCCAGTGTCTGTCTCTAGTTGTTCCGTTTTACCTTCGCTCGTTCTCTGTCCATTGCACACAGCTTCGCATTATTATCGCCATCATCCCTTCAAATTGAACTCACATTTTTGAGGCATTCATCATGAATTTGTTTTTCTTGTTTAATTTTAGTCATTTAGTTGCTTTGGGCCCTTTTCTCTGTTTCCCTGCCGTTTCACGCCAGTCACCCTCGCCGCACACACACACACACACACACACACACTCTTGTTGCATCTGCATCTGGATTTGAATCTTTAAAGCAGCTCTGAGCAAAAATATTGCACATTTGCTGCGCCCCCTTCCCCTTTACGCTCTTGGCCTTCCAGTAAATCGGCCGCCATTTGATCGTCTTCCAGCGGCGCATTTGGCATTAACACGCAGAGGCGAGCTCTGTTTCCAGTGGAATGAGCCGATGTCGAGTCAGTGATAAATTATAAATAAGCGTGGGCGTGTGTATTCTGGTCACATATTCTTTGCCTTCTTTAAAGAGCAACAAATATTTTTCAATTGCAAGGCAATGAGATAACCGTAGACATACATACATATATTTCCACGGATCCATTATACATACATATATTAAGTATTCATGCGCATACATATGTATCTAGATATGTTGAAAAGTATATGTTAGTATATATTAGCAATACTGTGGCCAAAACCGTAAGAGCTAGAGATTTACAATGTTAACTGCAGTTACAAATGTAAGGCCAATTCCACCCGGAAGCGTGGAAAAATCGCGGAAAACGCTTGCATGCTTTTTGCTTGACTTTAAGCTCAATTTCAAAGAGCACTATTCAAATTAATTTGAAATGTGTTTCACACTTTTCGGAATATTCACCCGTGCTCGTGGAAATCTTACGATGTATCCCATACAGCCAAAAGCTTTACACAACATTTACTAGCTGGAAAATATATCTCTCATCTTTTCGGTCGCATTTAGGACAATGAAACATTGTCTCTTTAAAGACTGAGAAATCCCTCTGCTTTCTTTCAACTTTCCTGTTAACTTCGAATTCGCAAATGTGACGCAATTCGATTTACTGAATAAATTATTGGCTTTGTTTGTGATCTATGTGGAAATAACCCAATGTCGAATATTGTTTTGGACTTATCTTTAATTGCTTCTACATTCTTAACGCGCGAACAGTTAGTTTAGCTTGGTTTCTTATCAGCTGCGGAATTGGCTCTGGCTACGCTTACTCAATAAACCGAATGTCTTTGTCTTTGGTTGCAGCGCGACTGCGAATTCGACGTTTCATTGGAAAAGTAGCACAAACCGTTAGTTGCCCACACACTGGTCAATTGCTCAACCCGCTCTCTCTCTCTCTCTCTCTCTCTCTCTCTCTCTCTACACTTCCTTGTACACGTTCTCTTCCCATGGTCCGTTTCGTTTCCGTTGTCTTTGTTCGCAGCTGCAGCAAAAGAAATGCATTTCATAAATGAACGAGTTAGTGCTGCCAATTTGGCTATTTTCTGGCTAAAATTTGGCTGTAGCCGAAAACAGCTTTTGCCAACAATTTGTCTGCGAAGAGCTGTTAACATTGAATTTAGCTAATTTTTTGAAGCGGCATTTGCCAACACTGGAACGCAGCCAGGATTGCCTAAAAATACTAAAACTAGAAATTTATTTATCAACTATTGATACACTGGAAAAATGGAGTTGCATAAATGATAACATTTTCCTGAAAAACTGAAAGTGCGAGAGCGAAAGATTTTCAAAAGATGCAATATTGGCAATTGTTCACCAAATGTTGTGTTGCAAACGTTTTGCTCAGGTGGCAACTCTGCCTGTGGCAGGTCTCTATTATTTTGCCAATTAGCTTTCTTGCGCACACGTTCCCTTTGCTTGCCGCAACCCCTCCGCGCGCGAATCTATCTCGAAAGTGGCAACTGACGCGCTCTAGAGCTGACCGACATGTGCGTCATTGTTCTCTGTGCAATGACTCACATGCGACACACACACACACACACACACACACACACACACACACGCACACAGACATGCTTATCTGTATCTGATGTATGGTTCTTTGATTCGGAGTGACAAACATTTATTAAACGAATACGAGGCAAAGTCAGTTTTGTGCGGTCGCCTTTAATCTGTTTAATTTCAACAAGTCCACAAAAAGCAACAACGAAAACAAGACTGCACGACTGGAAGATATCCTGTAGAAATGTAGACATACAATATTTGTATCTAGATACTTGGATTCGGCTCGATGAGTTTACGTTCGATCTGATCTCTCGGGACTTCCCCTTTGCCTTTAAAAAAAAACAACGAAACGCGCTAATTGTTAATTTCAATCATCATTTTTTACAATTATAATTCCAAAACTGAACAAACACATCGTTTTGTGTGTTGTCTGTGTGTGCGTGTGTTAAACTGGCCAAAGAGGAGCCGGCAAATATCTAAAATGAAATCATTATTCAAATTTCAAAGTATTTCCCGCAAGTGAGTGAGCAAAAACACACACAAAATACGAGAAGAAGAAGAGCGACATAATTAATCGTTTTAATATGAAAATTTGAATTCAAAAATCTACAAAAGCCACAACAACAAGAGGAAGAGCCATAAAACAACCGAGTTCCAATTGGGAAAACGAATAAGACGAAACAAATTTGTTTTGGTGAGTAAAACAAAGGCAGCAGATAAACAGAGAGAGGGGGAGAGAGAGAGGAATGGGAAGAGTAGTTCTTACAAATATTAAATAAGTTAAATAGTTACAAGTAAAATGAAATCCATGAAAATAAAAGTTTGTAGCAGATACAAATTTCAGTTAAGAACTAGTTGGCCAACAAATTAAATTGTAAGCGAATTGAAAAGATTTTTTTTGAAACGAGCGTAAAAATCATCGATTGCATTTTTGCTCTTCGCTTCTTTCTTTTGTTGACATTTCGAAGAGGCAGGCAAAAAGACTCGAGTGTAACTCCAATTGGAATGTTTCTGTAATTTTTCACATATGTCCAACTCGAAAAGCTGGCCCAAAAAGCTTTGTATTTGTTGCCCGAAAGTTTTGTTATGGATCCTTTGGAGCGGCTCTTTAAGAATTTGCGAATGCACTTATTTTTTAATTTTCAATACGATTAATCGTTTTCTATTCCAATCAGATATCTCATGCTCAGATACAAGTTTTTGTCGTCTCGAGTTGTCAAGTTGGCGTTCTTCTTGGTTATCTGCTTCTTGCCTGTGGCAAGGACTCGTCTGCTGCTTTATCCTTTTGTTGAATAATCCGATTTAAGCCTTAATTAAATACCCCTGCTCTGGTCTCTCTGGTCTCTCTCTCTGTCAAGTATTACATATTTGATTACGTGCAACAAGCGTTTTAATTGTATTTGTTGTCTAATGAAATCACAGACAAGACGTGCGCGGGGGGGGGGGGGCACTTCGTACAGTTGTTAACATTAGTCAAGAGATAATTCGTATTATTTTCCTATAGCCATAAAATTATCCTATCAAAGTTTGGGAAAAATGCATAAACTCTTAGAAATAAGTTAGTGTGGTCGAGTGGGGAGTGCACGACTATGAGATACCCTGATCTCAACTTCGAGTTGTCTTTCTAGCTTCCTTCTATACACACACACACAAGCACGCATGCAACTTTCTGTGCTTCTTCTTCTTATTTACTTAGATCCCATTTCCCCTATGAGAAAATGTTCCTAAATAAATTCGGAGCTTATAGTCCGATTCTCATGATGTTTGAAGCTCTCCAAAACGTGATCCAGTTCTGCGAGTTTTCAAGTTATGCTCCAAAATCCGGGATAAGGATAAACCTTGACTGCGTATATATGCGCATATATCAGAATATCAACTTGATGTCTATAGCTTTAAGGATAGCCGAAATAGACGAACGGCTGGCCGGACATGACCAGACTGACTCAGCTCCGGCTAATAGAGCCGTAATGAGTGTGGCCTGGATTATAGTGGTGCCAGAGGAAATGTCCGCCTAAGAGAGCTCTTCTTGTGGCTCAAGATCCAATTTGAAGCAGCCGCATTTGATTGACTTCAGGCTGAATGTTGTTCATCTGCGATTTGGAGATAATCCACGCCAGGCGACATGTCCAACTGTGAACACCCCTGTCCCAGTTGCCGGTACAGTTACAGCGTCCTCTCTCTCTCTCTCTCTCTCTCTCTCTCTCTCTCTCTCTCTCTCTCTCTTGTTATCAAAGTTTGTTGTTGTTGTTGTTGTTGTTGTTGCCATAACAATGACATGGGGCAGCAGAAGCTGAGCACATTTGGTTGCATTCTGTGCAGCCACAAAGCCGCCCAACACACACACACACACACACACACACACCCTAACCTCTAACCCCCGCGCCCAACTTTATTTGGCATGCTCCCCCCTCCCCACCTCATTCCATTACCCTTTCACTCTGCCCATGCATTTGTATTTGTATGTGTGCTTTTCCGTTTGTATTTGTGCACTTGCTCCAACTGCTGCCAGGCCTGGAACAGATGCTGCCTGCTTGCACTGTGCGTCGTCGTCTCTGCTGCTGCCTGCTGCTCGCTGTTGTTGTTGTTGTTGTTGTTGTTGTTTTTATAGCCCGAAGCTCGCTTTGAGTTTTGAGTGGGCAGGCGACGGCGACGGCGGCGGCTTTGGTCTGTTGCAAATGGCAAATACGTCAATGCCTCCCGCATGCCGCCTGCCTGGCTCAACCTCGTTTACTCCTGCACCCCGCCCGCGCACTGTTCGCTCGCTCCGATGCTGCATTGCTCTCACTCTCCTCTCACTCTCCTCTCACTCTCCTCTCTCTCGCTCACTCTCACTCTCTCGCTGCCATTTGCTCGCCTGCGTTCGCCTGCTCATCTGCTCGCTTGCTCCTTCGTGCGCGCTCTCTCGCTCTAATTTATGGGTCGTGTGTGCCCCGTTTCCATTCCACCTCCTGCTGCAGCAGCAACAACAACAGCAACTATTTCACCGTTACATAAATACCCAACTACAACAACAACAACAACAACAACAACCGCAACAAATGCAAGTTTCTGCTGCTGTTGGCTGCATAAATTCATTTGTTTGTTGTTGTTGTTGTTGTTGTTGTTGTTGCTGTTGTTGTTGTTGTTGTTGTTATTACTAGCGCTGCCAGCGTCGCTGCTGTCACTGTCACCGCTGCCTTTGCCCCTTTTCCCCTTTCGGGGCTGGCGGCGTCGTTGCCATTTTCAATTTTAGTTTTGCTTTTGCCTTCGTTCGGTTTGGGTTCGTTACAGCCAACTTCCACTCCTTTGCACACCCCCCCCCCCCCTTATACAATGGCCCCCTTTATGTTGTGCCACCCACGTAACGTGTGTCCTTGCGCGCTCGTTTCCTGTGCGCTCGCTCGCTTCTGCCAAGCCACGCCAAACCGTGCGACAGCCCATGGCTCTGGCTGGGACTTGGTCTGGCTCTGACCCGACCCATTGTCCCGGCTGAGCTGGCCCGTGTCCCGTGTCCCGCGTGCCGTGTCCCTTTTGTCCGCCTCCTTCTCTTCATAGCTCGGCTCAACCTCCCCGTTTCGGTTCAGAGTTTACATTTTATGTGTGCTTGTGCGAGTGTGTGTGTGTGTGTCCGTGTCCTTTTTTTACACAATTTCCTTGAGCGCGCGCAGCCGACAGACCCAACGCCCCCCCGCCTCGTCTGGTTAGCGATATCCTTGATAATAATGTGTACAACACCAAAAAAAACAAGTGGACGAGCCAACATCTTCCACGCAACCAACACCCGCCCTCCCCCCTCCCCCCCCTCCCATCTAGTTCTGCCTGCCTGCCTGGCTAGGCATTCCAGCTGCACTCAAATCCATTTCATTTTATTCCGGTTCTGTTTGGGCATTTCATTTCCACTCTTGCTTCCCTCCCCTCCCCGCTCTCGCCTTCACCCTGCAAGCCACAACAGAATTGGCAGGCGAAGCGTACAGTAAATATTACTTAAAAAGGAAACTCATTCCAACTTTGATTTGCAACCTATTCAAATATATATATAGATATATTATATATGTATATATATATATAGATAAATTAACATAAATTGTATGTCCTCAAAGCAAAGAATATTTCGTCAACTGTAAGAGGCAGAGAAACGAACGGAAAGAGTATATAAATGGAGGAGTATATTGATGGAAGAGTATATAAATTGAAAGAGCAACAGAACAACTTTTAAACACAAATATATATGTTTGTAAATGTAAACACATTCGACAAGAAAAGAGACGAGTCTGTGTTGATATTTAGGCATATTTCATATTTAATAGCTTTCATTTTAAATGTTACCTTGAAAGTTGTTATACAAAATATTGTTGTTCCGTTCACTTCCGCTCTCGTATTCAAGGTCTGGAGTTTGCCGTACGCTTTAGGCACAGTTCACTGTACACCAGGGTTGCATAGATTTTTAGCTTAAGTGTTGCCACGCTTGCGTTTGACAATTGAAATAAGAATAAGAAAATAAATAACAAATTTAATGCTCTTAAGAAATTATGAAATGCGACAACTGGAAAGTGCATATTTTTGCAATTCGTTTATGGAAATAATGAAATTTTGATTTGCGGTTGACTGAGAGAAAATGCTATGTCAGCTGCAGAAGGCGTTGGCGGGGGGAGGGGGCGGGCCAAGGCGAAAGCGCATAGAGAACATTGAAAGAGGGCAACATCGTTAAATGTTACTGCTGCAGTTTACTTGTTGCTGCAGTCGCAGTCGCAGTCGCAGTCGCTGTTGGCGGCGCAGCTGCGGCTGCAGTCTGGATAGAAACGTTGCAGAAGTGGGGCATAAAACACAAGACCAAGACCAAGACCAAGACCGAGCTAACAAATGAAGATCGCGATGACGGCAAACGGCAAGTTCTCTTTTCACTCAGTTTAGCTGTCTCTGTCTGTTGCTTGCTTGAGTCAATAACCCCGCAGCAGAGAAGCAGCAAGAACAAGAACGAAGCAAGCATGCGAACAAGCGGTATGAGCCGCTCACTCCACGTCTCGCTCGCAGCAAGAGTCAACTTGAGTAATGAGAAGAGGCAAAGTCAAAGTGAACTCAAAATTGTCGGAGCGTTATAAAGTCGCCCGCCAACAATCAAATGAGAGGCGGGGCGGCAACAAGAACAACAACAACAACGATTTGTACCTAAATCTAAAATGTGCAGTCTGTGTGTGTGTGTGTGTGTGTGTGCCTGCACGTCGAAGATGATCAACGAATGCGCGAACAAGTGAACATTAATAAATAAATATGTGTGTATGTGTGTACGTACGTACATATGTATGTATGTGTGTATGTGTGTAGCGAAAGCGCCACGGTTGGAATTGAAACGCGCCAAAGGGACGAGAGCAGCCAATAAACAAAGCAACTCGCACACACACACACACACACGCACGCTAGTTCAGTAATTCATTCACTCACACACACACTCAAAGCTCTCCTGCCGCACACATATACACACATATACATGCATATGCACACTGCACTCGAGCTGTTTCATTTCATAAACGTTCACTTTTCTATAACGTTAACCCAGAATATTTATGCATATGCAAAGCAAAAAAAAAAAAAACAAATACAGTTTAATTAAATAACTCCTTAAATGCGCGAGTGTAAACACAACAAATAACGAGTTCGCATGTGTGTGCGTGCGCGTGCCTATAGCTCTTTCAATGTGTGCAAGTAGTTGTAATGGAA